AAAACCAAAACCAAAACCAATCATGACTCGTTCGCACGCGTTTTCCCGCGCTTTGCGTCAGCTACATATAATTACTTCGAGTTTTGATTGGTTCACTGCATTGTCTGAGTCCTTTGTGATTGGACAGAATAATTACTTTGGTTTTGGTTTTACGACACTCAATTGAAAACCGCTATATATAACAGGTTATTGTTGGCTCTAGAGTTCCCTTTGATATCAGATTGCAACCTGCCTTAAGATAATATATGTGGAAGCAAACGAATATTGCATTCATGTATACTCTGACGCAATTATAGTACCAGTGAACTTAAAACTATCAGAGCTATCACTTTATTACTACGGTTCATTATATAAACTGTGGGATAACCGTATATGCGAAATAAGTCACAAAAGCTACAAAATAGAGCAGCCCGTGTTTTGGACCACCCGTAGAGTTCCGATAGTAGCGACCCTCGTTACTTTCGGAATTAGCAGCCTTTGGGGGTCGCTACTTTCGGGAGGTCGTTACTTTCGGGGAACAAAAATCGTTTACAAGTAGAGCTAGGCTCGATTACCAGCCGCTGTTCGGGAAAGGAGTTCCGCGGGGAGGAACGTAGACCGGACTCGAGAAAGCGGCGGAAATCGAGCCTAAAATAGAGCTGGCGCAGGCTTTTTTTCCGAAATAAAAATGAACAACATAAAATTAAAAAAAGAACAACATTTTATTTGCATTCCATATGTATAGATTGTGTTTCATAATAAGAAGGTAACAATGATAAATACAGCAATAATAATAAAAAAAATCAACATCAAGACCAATAAACAAGTGAGACAAAATTCGTCTATCCAGTTTCATGTTTTAACTGCGACGTGAGTTCCTAAATTGTATCGTCAGTGGTCGGGACGAGTTGTCTTGGTTTGTCTCTCAGTTCTTTCGGGGTCGCTACTTTCGGGATTTACTAACGGCCACAAAAAATTGACGTTAATTTCGGGGGGTCGTTACTATCGGAACTTTACGGCACTCAATCTGTGGCGTAGATGCCGGTCACCTGTTCAAACCGGTTCGGGTGGAAAACTCTATCATGCCAGCAGCAAATTCAAAGAGTTACGATGGTTTCTGCACGGGTTGGCTCCGGAATATCTCAGTTCTAAATTCGAAAGGCGAGAAACCGCATATAACCTAAGGGACTCTGAGAATAAACTTAATGTTCCACTGCCGCGCACAAACTATTACAAAACAAGAGGCCCCAAGTAGCCTATACTCGTGCGCAGGAAGTTACGTCCTTGTATGAAATACAGTACCGTACATAGTCAGACATGCAATTTGAAAACCTTTGCCATCCGACAACTTGAAATAATACAGGAGAAAAGCTAATTCGAAAAAAGTGCATGATAGATCTAAGATACAGATCATGAAGATGCAGGAGAGAAGATAAGTGATGTAATGCAATATGTCGTCTTTATTACAAGGATATCCTCAGGCGGATTCGCCTGATGATATCCTTGTAATAAAGACGACATATTACTACAATGGCCCAGTACTGGAATTTGTTCCTAACAACCAACATAAACAAGTCTAACACTTGAACAGAAAATGCCTAAAGAGATTTAGCCCATAATTGTTATGAAAAAAGATATTTCATAAAAAAGCTAGCTGAGCCGAAAAAATCATAGATAGAGAATTAATAAAGGATTCAAATTGCGAATTGGATGGAATATCTTTTTTCATAGCAATTCTGGACTAAATAGAGTGAGGGTTTTGGAAAGGGAGCCGCACACCCCCAACCAATTTTTCTGGGAGTATCTCCGCGGGTATTCATCAAGAATCATTTGCAGGAGCCTTTTAATGGGCTCCTGTCATTTACAAATTTCCTAGGATTCCTTTGCAGGTATGAGCTGACATATGCATTTCCCTTAAGATTAGCTAAGGATTGGAAATCGATAAAAATCGATCTGCACAAAATATTCCGCATCGATTAAACTGATTAGGCCCGGTGGTGTCTCACCAAATCAAAATTTTAGCATCCGGGTTCTTTTATTTACATATCTCCCAGAAGCCTTTGCGTCAGGCTTGTGTATGTTTCCTTCGAGAGGTTGGACAAGGAGTGAGTTTGCAGGCTGAAAAATAATGGGGAGTTCAGGAATATAAGGCATTCATGAAAAGATTAAGTAAAGCAGTTCGCACTGGGCATGGGGTCAGAATGGGAAGCGCCAGCGGCAAGGAAGATCCAGTCATTACAGACCGGTTGAAGGCCGAAGACTTCGTCTTTACAAAGGTTTGTAAGATTGACATGATAGTTGCAGTAAATGAGCAAATGAGCACTGAATGTTAAGTTTGACCAATTCAAGTCGTTGTTGACCGTTTTTGGCTGATTCTTTACAGACTTCTCGCTATGGCTTTCCATACCAACCCACTTGTGTGGCGTACGATCCTGTGCAGAGCTTACTTGCGATTGGATCCTACGATGGCTCTCTACGGATGTATCATTTGAATTTGTTTTTGCACAACATTTACACCGATTACATGTAATATGCCGTAATAGGTCAGTTTTCGCGAACTTGTCAGGATTAGGCGTTTTTTTTCACGAGCGTTTATAACAAGTGAAGGCAACTTGCTTTATTTAAAATACACGCACAAGTAAACTACAAATGTAGAAAAATTCCCGAGGTGTACACAGTCGTAAACAAACAAGCCTATTTCTTGATTTGGTTAAGCTTATTTATTCGAATTTATTCATTATATTGACTCGTCGCACAATTATTCAACAGGTATAAATTTTGTCACCTACTGTTTGTGTGCTGCTAGTCGCGACATATTTAATCTTTATTTATTTGCTTATTTGAAGATTGTTCTTTATATTGGAGGTCTTCTAGAGGCAAATATTAATTTCAATGTTGGATGCACTTAGTACATCGATCTTTAGCTTATCTGTTTATGGCGGACTCAAGGCATTTTATTAAAATGAAACGTGCTCTGTGATGAAAAAACCACCAAGAAAGATTCTCTCTCACTCTTAGCACAACTTCAAGAAATTTCTCTGGATATTTTTAACATCTCTGGTTGCTTCCTAATGTGTTTTCGAATAGACAGACGTAGTTTCCTTGACAAGCATATCGTAAAGCTTGGGACAGGCAGGTTTAGAATCTCATGTTCAACACGAGAGTGGCGCTGCAGTTAGAGAACTTATCTTTCTCGTAAATGAGGTAAGCTTCCTGTGGACATATAAATTCAACTAACTCTGTAATTAATAATCTTTGACATGCTGTATTTGTCCACGTGTAATGAAAATACCTTTATAATGATCAATGTGTTTTTGTTTCTAATGATTATCAATATGATTGTCACTCAGGTTACTGTGCTCTTAATAGTCCTCGTAAAAAATATTATTGAAAGATTAGATTAGTTCCATACATTCTATTTTGCTTCATTCAGTCATGTCAAATTTGGATGTTCTTGTTGTATATTGATATACTTTTTTGTTTTTGCATCCGTTCTCGAAGATTTAAGTATATTTCATAAGATTAAATTGGTTTATTCTTATAACCTCATCAAAAACTAAATGTCACCATTGTGATTAGATATGAAAGAGTAATATGAACACTTACCGAGTAAGGAAGAAAGTCAATCAGTGGCTCAAACTGGTCTTGTCCAGACGTCTGGAACAAGTAGATTTCGCTGTCCTGCTAGGAACTTTGTATATCCACTTGTCCAGTGAGCAAGAGCCCAGCCAAGACATTATGATTCCAAACATGTATTATAAAACAATGAAATGATCTTAGACATGCATGTAAACTACAGAATATTTGGAATATCTTCTGATGGGATTCTGCTTCTCAAAAATGAAAGGTACATATATCAAAACTCTCTTTAATCTAAAATAAAATCACCAACATTGAAGTGAATGTCATGTCTCATGATACTTAACAGATAATCTACAGGACAATCAGTTAGGGCCTTTATTACATGGCTCGGTCTGTGAGCGGGCAAGATGAACCAAATTCTGCACAGTGATTGGCTACCCGAACGGGCAAGAGGGCACTATCTTGCCCGCTCAGTATTAGCTGTTGTGTCCTGCAAGAAAACAGTGTTCCTTTTCCACAATAAAATATTATAATAAATCCTTTACCGGTATTGACCAAGCTTGTTGCTCAAGATGGCTGAACAGTCGTTCTTGTTCTTTTTTTTTTTTTTGTGAGTTTATGGACTTCAACTCTATCTCTCTCCATAAACATGCAAAAAGAACTTGGCAATATCCAGCCATCTTAACCTCACGCTTTATCAAGAACCCATATGTATTGGCACTGAGGAAATGTTGGAAAAAGGTCATCGCTGGTTGTATATTGGAATTTTGTTGTGAATGGTTAGCTGGGGTGTCATTGAGGGCTAGTACTTAGCCAATGAAAATCACTGGTTCATCAGCCCCCTTCATCCAGTAAATTTTGAATTATGTTGTGCAGTTATTGACAATGAAAAGTCTTATTACAATACCATCTAAGAAACTTATAAAGCTTCCATTTCCTAGTTTTAAGTCACAGTCATATTTTAATAGGTTAGGAAGTGCAAATTTTTATGAAAACGAATTACTGTGCAAACGTTTTCTAACCATCTGAAAGTTATGGCTACCCAAAAGTAGCATCCCCTTTTGCCTGCCAAATCCAAAAGTAATAGCCCCGGTTTCTTTCAGAATTCTACGGTATGACACCGCTTGCAACTCAGATTTTCGATTTTACCTGGGTTATACAATTCCGACTACGACTCCATGATTAACTCCTTCGTTAGTGATAACCAACCATTAGTGACAGCCCTGGTTTAGGGGACCTATTACAATAATATTTATACAGGTTGCAAGAGGGCAGCTTATTAAGAATAAAAATTGTCAAATTTTGAACCTTGTAACAGTGCTTGCTATGTTTTCCCAGGGAGCTTTGATAAGTCTCTGTGAAGATGACTATATACACCTGTGGAATTTACGCCAGGCAGAACCTGCTCTTGTGCAGTCATTAAGATTTAATAGGGAAAAGTAAGTATTTTTTTTCTCTGTGTGCTGCTGAGTTTTCAACGGTCAACAAGGTCAACTTGGCTTGGTATTATATTTATTTATCTAGAATCATTCGCACAGGTTTCCCATCTCTGGGAATGTGGTTAAAACGGAGGAGTAACTAGGATTACAAAAGGATCTTGCATGAAAGCGTTCTTTAGTTGAAATTAAAAAAAAGAGCCACAAGCTTTCAGCTTCCAGGTTTAAGTCTTTAGACCAAGCCAAAAGCATAAGACTTTTTAAAAATTCAAGTCACCACTCTGGCCAGAGATTACCATTGACCGACCATTATTTTGAGCCCTGAGCTCAAATGCTTTTACACAAGGTGTCTGTGAATGTACATCCAAAGTGAATAAACTACAAACTAATCAAGGAAATAGAAAGGTGCCAGTAAATGTAGCAAGAACTTGCAAAATCTGAATTTGATTGCTAATAATGTTATTTCTGTGACAGATTAACCTGTATGCACCTACCATTCTCCTCAAAGTGGTTATATGTTGGCACAGAAAAAGGGAATATTCATGTTGTAAATATCGAGAGTTTTCAGTTGTCAGGATACACAATAAATTGGAATAAAGTAATAGAAATGTGAGTACAGTGATACATTGAATTTTGTATGGGTTGTATGTTGTTCATTTTTTTATTTCTGTGCTGGGTTCAAAGTAGAGATTAGGGGTCAAATATCAGGCTGAATACATTGTAGGTCAGCATCTGTAGGAGGTATGGTGACCTCATTCTCGTCCCTAGAGGCCGTGCTCCTTTTGGTCAGCACAAAGAATCGCGACCTCTGGCCGGGTCTGATTTTCTGAGCATGTGCAGAGAATTCGTTTCGTACTCTCAGCCAATCAGATTGGTCAGTCTTGACTCTGAGCATGCGCAGAGTGACGGGAAGTCTGTGAATCACGGACTTCCGGTGTTGGACCTTCCCAGAGGTTGCGATTCTTGTTGCTGACCAAAAGGAGTGCAGTCTCTGGGGATGAGAATGTGTTGAGCTATGTAGTAGTTAGTGAAGCGATTTCTGTATTTGATGGTCCTGTTGGGGTTTTTCTGTTGTGTTTTTGGACAAGGTCCAAAAGTGCCTCTCTCCTTCCAGGAACTTGTATAAATGAGTTAGAGCAACCTAAAACAATGTCGAGGAGGGAGGGAGAGTGCCTAACTCATGATGGAATTAACATAGACTATTGTCCCATGCAAGTGGAGCGGGGAGGGGGTGGTCGGTATATTTAGATTTATATCATGTCATTGGAAATAAAGCCAATCAGCATACAGGAAATCTCATTTATACTCTAGGCTATGTTATCTATGTATGTCACATTTGTATTTGTATTTGTATTTTCTATATTTCTATATTTCGTGGAAGTGGTTCGTTTGATTTGTGAAGAAACACATTCAAGAAATTGTGACTTCGTTCAAGAGGTCCATTGTTCATGCCAGTAACTGCATTTGTTTACTATAAGCTCCAGAGGTGAAACATGAACATATATTGAATACAAATGCCTGTTTTCTCTGTAGAAAATGTAAAACTCACCCAGGTCCAGTTGTACATATAAGTGGTAACCCTGTGGACCCTAATAAGGTAGGAGCCTGTGATGAATATAAGGTAGTTTAACAAGTGATTATAACCAGACCAGACCTCCATACTCCAGGTTGTTTCATCCTACAGAAACTGGACTGGCTGTATTAGCTGCCAATTACTGGTTGTCATATTCTCAAGAAAATTCTATCCTTCCAACGGAACCTAATGCCACCTTTTAGAAAAGGCACAGCTCTGTGGAAGAGCACTGCCAGGGCTCTGGATATTGTGGATTTTGCTATCATTGTGTTTTTGTGTTATTTTTATGATAAAGTGCAACTGATGAGAGCAAATTAAATCTAGCTGTTGAGTAAATATCCAATAACAATGATGTGACATTTATTCAAGGTTATGTGCTTGCACTGATGATCTATGTGGTGACTTTGATCCTTAAAATGGTGCACGTCAATTTCAAGCGTGTTGATTATGTTCTTATTTGGTAGTTGCTTTTAGGTTTTGAAACTGGAACAGTTGTTGTTTGGTCTCTCAGAGGGAAAACAGCAGAACACAGATGTATTTGTCCTCAGGTATGAACAAAATAGATGCAATTGTTATCAATGATTGTCCAAGCATAACAGACTGGGACTGGTTCAGGAGACTCCACTGTTAAGTTTACCACAATTAAGCGGACCTTTCGTTTAGCAGATCAGGGGTGATACTTTCAAAAAAATTTGGTGGGG